GATGCAATTATTTTTAAGGATTTTGGAAATTGAGTCAATAGCAAAATAATTTATGCCACATGTATAGTTATGATTATAAATCTAAATTGTATTATTTTCTTTTTGTAGAAACTATATAAAAGAAAAATAAAATAAATAAAAAAATGAAAGAGAAAAAACAATACAATTGTATACATAAGAAGCAATTGAAAAAAAAAGTAAAAAAAGTTATTATTTATTCTAACTATTATTAAAAAGATTATCTCAATGAACTTAAAATTCAAGTTCTTTATGATTTCTTACTTCTTATCATTTGTAGTTAACCAGACTATTTAATTTCTATTGAAGCAGTCAATATTCAAGAATATTTTTTTTTTTTTTTCGGATGAAAAATACTTTGTGCATGTGCATTTTTATTGAGTAGTTTATATCCAATTACATATATACTAAGGTTCATTTAAGTTAATCTCACTCTATACCTATAGACTTACCCAGTGTACCAATTGACATTATGGAGGTGGATTCACACCTTGAGTGGGATCTTTTAGGGGATAGAAATCCTACCACTAGTTTTAAACTATCTAACCTAATCTAGATCCTGTTTCGACTATATCCGTCATGAGAGAGATGCCATATTACCTTTCAGGATATGGTTAGAGAACACCTGAATATCTCCATATATATTTTTTTGCTCAGAATTTCGAAGAAGGTAAATCACTCTTTGTTACCACTTGCGGTTTCCAATTATATTGCAAATATAACCTTCTTTTAAGCAAGCGCTGGATTGGAATAGCCCCAGGCTAGGGTATTCTTGTATGATGAAGGCTGCTATCGCCAGTTTGGGTTAGAGTTTTTTGTAGACTTATACCGGAGTTAGACCAGAAGTCTTTCTTTGTGCAACTTTCCTAATATTCAAAAATATTTAAAAGTACTTTCAAAAGAATATTTTATAAAACTTTATATTTGAAGACTTTTAACCAGAAAAGTTATTGGTTTTCTATTATTAATTTCTTTTTCAAGTCATGTTTTTCTAAAATTATTACTTTACTCAATTGATGAATAGTTTTAGAATTTTTTTCTTTAACCATTTTTAAGATAAATATCAATATTTCAACTTGTTGCCAAGTTAAAATAGAACCTAGATCTTGTTGCTACTTTCTGTTCTCAAAAAAAAAATAAAATAAAAAAAATATGTCATTCCTTTTTTACTTATAACTTTTGCTTTATTTAATACTTCAATACTACTTTTTCAACTAAGAATCGTTCAACTCTTTCAGAAACCAATCATATTATCAATTATTTATTTTTTTTTAACCAATGTAATCAATCAACCTGTGGCCTTAATCAATTATCTTTCAGAAGATTCAATATAATTAAAAATTCAAAGTTAAACTGAAATAAGCAAAATTTCTTAAAAAAATAAAAAAAAAAAAAAACATACTTGAGAAAGAAAAAGTTAAAAGTTAAAAAGATAATAGTGAAATTAAAAACTTCTTTATTTTTGTTTTTCTAGATTTTTAAATTTCTTGAAAACCTTTGGAGAATGTTTTTTCTTATCAGTTTTCTTCTTAAAAAGATGTTTTTGCCATAAGCTTTTTAGATAGGTTTCTTGTATTTAATTACAAAAATAATTAAATAAAGAGTTTTGAAAAGAAAAAAATAAAACAAGTGATAGTTTCTACTTGCTTTACTGATTAAAGAACTAGTGTTGTTAAGGAAAGTATATAGACTTTATTATCATAAAAATATAAAATCTTTTGAGAATATCTGTTTTTTGGGTTGACAAAAAGATTAGCAGAAAAAGTACTTACTATTATCTTAATAATCTTATTTTATTATTATTATTATTTTAGTCTCTTACTTTTATTTTTTTAAAAAAAAATATTTTTTTGACTTTAAATTTTTGATTATATTAAATTTTTTAAAAAATAATTAATTAATTATATCAATCACAAAAAAGTAAACAAGAACATATTTTTTTATATATTTCTAATTATATAAAATTTCTAATATTATTTTAATATCAAGTTAATATTAAATTTATTATAAGTTTATATAATAAGTTTATAAATTAATATTATTTTAATACAATTTTAATATTAATTCAAAATTCTATAGGTATACAATATTAAATTAATAATATAATTAGTTTTTAAAAGAATTGAACAATCTTTAATTAAAGAAATAAATAAAGAAAAAGTGAGATATATATATATATATTATTTATTCTTTTTAAAGAATTGAAAATAATAACAAGATATAGTTCAAATACTTTCAAACTTAATTTATTATAAATTTTTAAATTAAGAAAAAAAAGCAAAAATATAAAAAAAAAATATCTTAAAAAAGAAGTTTTCTAATAAAATGAAAATAAATAAAAAAAAGTTTTATAATATAAATAATATAATAATTATATTTATTTTAAAAAAATTTTTTTAAAGTTTTAATAATTTTTAATATATTTTAAAGTAAAAATCAAAATAATTAATGAATTTTTATTTATATATTAATATAGTGAAATTTAATAAAACATTTTAAAAAATCTATAAAATTGTTTATTGTATTAATTTTAATTAATATTCTTAAAAATTGAATTAATAATAATAAATTAATATAAAAGTAATTTGATATTAGAATATTGAATTATTATTAAAATAATATTAAACTTATACTTAATTCAGTATCAATTTAATATTAAAATAATTTTATTAAAAATTTTATTTAATATAATGTAGTAATATATAGAATAAAAATTTAGTTGGATTGTATAAAAATAAAATCTCTGGTCTTTTTAATAATCACAAGCTGAAAACAAATCAAAACAAGAAATTCAAACTAGTAATGACAAACTCTATTATATAATTATAAGTAATTAATTCTAAGTTGATTTATTTTAATCTGGAGTTTTGAGATCTATCCCAATATAATATTCCATGAAACTTAAACATATAACTAAAGGATAAGGTATCAACCATAAATGATAAAAAGCTAAATAAAAATTATTAATGCCAAATGAGTCTAGTAAAAACCAATCTAAGATTAAATCAGAATTTAAGCAAGAATACCAATTATGGTTCTGAAAATTGAAATTGAATAGAATTATAAAGAATTATATGAGATTTGAAATATTATTAAAAATGATAGTAGGATATATCCTACTTATTAAATTTAATATAAACTTGAAAATCAAATATAGAATCAAAGAGAATCATTAAGATCTTTAATGCTAGTTTCACAGATGGTATAAATAGTAATACTACATTATACTAGTGATGCATTCCAAGAATCAGGTAATAACAATAATTGGAATACTAAAGTTAATTTCTATAATGTTATTTTATAACATGTCCTATCTATAACAAATACAGTCAAAACTGAACTTAATAGATTAGATAATTTAAAACTAGTAGTAGAATTTTTATCCCTTATATAAATTCCATTTAATGTATAGACTATCTACTTGATGTTTAAAATTGTATATACTGAGTATATTGAAGTTATAATATAATAAATTAATAATTAGAAATAGTTAATTAGGTTAGTATTAAGCTATTATTAGTAAAAGATATTTAATATAATAGCTATAAATTTTTATTTAATAATAGTCTCATATCTAATATATATTATAACTCAAAAAAAAAAAAAGTAATATATAAAATAATTTATAGATAGTAATTGTAATATAAATAAATATATATATATATATTAAATAAAATATTATATGTTAGACAAAATTCAAATAGTTAATATAGATTCTTATTATTATCTTATTTCAAAAAAAAAAATTGTAATTAGTTTTTTTTTAAAAAAAATTGATAAAAATAATTATATTATATTGATTACTAGACTATCTATATAAATAAGAACATAACTATTAATTCCAATTAATATAGCAGATTTCATAGCACATAGAATTTCTAATAATATTATTTTGATATCAAATTAATATTAGATTTATTATAAATATAATATAATAAATTACAACTCATATATTAAATTTATTATAAGTCAATATTATTTGATATTTGGTTTGAAATTTTAATAATACAGCATAACAATACAAACTAAAAGTTTTCTATAAAACAATTATTAATATAAATACTAATGCATTAAGTATACTTATAACTAAACAAAAATTATATTCTGTCTGATATTTTTACTTCTAAATTTAACAACCTATATTAATTAAAAGTCTTTGAAGTATCTACTGAAAAATTTAGAAATTATGTTTTACTTGGTTATATAATTCTCAGATTTAATAGTTTGTATTGACCAAAGGATTTTTTTGGAGTATTTACTAGGAAGTTTTAATAAGATCATAAGTACTATAGCTATATAAGCCAAATATGTAAAATATAATAAGAGAGCTTTCAACAAAGATTGATATGTATTCTATAGACCTTCAACAAAAATAAATTTAATAAGTTGGATAATTTAAACTAATAGCAGAATTTTTACTTTCTGATTAAATTCCATTTAACATATGGATTCACTTTTTCAATGTAAGCCTATACATGTTATGTTATATACAATAGGCTATAATTAATTTACTTTTGTAAATATTATTAATATATTGATATTAAACCATAGTTTAAATAAAATCTTGTATTTAATGTCTGTTTCTAAAAAAAAAAAAGTAATAAGTAATAAATATAAATTATCAAAGATAGATATTTAAGTATAAAGATAGTTTATATATATTTAAAAATAAAATAAGTCATTAATTATATTATCGATTTATTATTTTTTTTTTCTAAAAAAAAAATACAATATCAAAGACTATTTTTGAAATTTATCACCATAGTTTAAAATATTATTTATCTTACGAAAGTTTATTTTCAATGTAATTTACAAGTATTAAATGATAGTCAAATGTCAGGTTCTATTGCTATTGAAAACCAAGTTTCATGTTTTTAATCGACATGTCTAATAAAGATTCCAAAATCCCAATGCAAGTTACCATTTATAATCGATAGTTCAATCCATACTCAGAATAGAAAGATAGAAGCATAAATTTGGCCTTATCGATTCCCCCGGTGGGGATGCCCATCATTGATTTCTTGCAAATTTCGTTCTCTCAGTTCAGTGTCTGCAAACAATGCACATATAAGACCCTCCAATTCTTTAGTTGTAAAACAGTCAAGCTCGGAAGCGCGAAATCTGTTCATTATTTCAGCAAAAGAAAGCACAAGAATGTCTGTAATCTGGCGGAATTTGTTCCAGCTCTTGACATTATTCTCAATTGTATTTGGCTGCAATAAATTTATACAAGCAAATATTAAAACATGTGAGTCTTAATCATGAAGAGAATATAAGGTGTAATAAAAATTTAAATTCACCTTATTTTTATTGAATATATTCTCTAAAATCAATAACCTGGAATAAATCAGGTTCAATTGATTTGATTCCTCAGCAGAGATATCGTATAAATCTTCCAGGTTTTCGATCATAATCGTTAGTACCTCATCTACAAGTATGCCCAATATCGAATAGTATTCTGTAGGCAATAAAATCCCCTGTATAGAAGATTTAAATGTGATTAATATACAAACAGAAGAATAAACTCAATACTTTACACAAAAAGCGAAAACCTTCAATATCCTGGACAAGTGATTCATTTTGTCCACTATCTTGTTCATAGTACGTTGACAAATTTCAAACCTTTCATCGTTTGCAGATTGTTGTACACCACCCATTTCATCTAAATCCTTTCTAAATAGCGATTTTTGTTTATCCTTCATAAACAATAGAATCATAAATCAGTGAAATTGACATTTCCGTATAAGTAACGTATAGGAAGGATGCATACCAATTGTATATCCCACCACTCAGAACCTAATTCTCGTAACCTATCGGCAGCTTCATTATATAAAATTTTATTGTTTCCACCATCCAGGTTATTAGAGTCCAATGATGATAAACAATTGATATAATCATCTTGGACAGTTATCAGTTGGTCAGCTAACCACACACAATCATTGCGAAATAACATGGTCAGAGAAGGGTCATTGACAAAATCCTCCGAATGATATACGGGCATGATTGCCCGATAAAGATCAAAGAGATCTAGAGTTGCTTGATAAAGCCGTATTCCGCTAATGATGAGAGATTAAAATTGTGCATAGGTATGTTAATAATGATAAGGAATTATTAATAAGAAATCAAGAATTCTTACCTTTTTGGATTTAAGTTTCGAGCTTCATTTAAAGTGTTGATTGTCAAGTCTATCAGAGGTTTGGATTTGACTGTTATAGCGTATTTCATCGGCTCTTTCTCCACTTCATATGATTCGCCTGAGTTCTTCTTATTCGAAGCACCATTTTGATTTGACGAATCATCTTTACCCCAACCGTCATCGTCCCATTCTTCATTCCAATCAACTTCCCAACCTTCATTCGGATTACTTTGTGTAGTAGTGTCTGCACCATTTTGCCGATTCTCGGTTTCTAATTCGTCCTCTGCTATTTTTGCAACGTCCATTTCTTCGATGATAGCTTCTGATTCTTCCTTGGTAATTGACAAGCTCTCAAAGCTTTCATCGAGCATAATTTTTCGTCCAAGTTCTAATAATTTGTCCCTTTTTTTAATGGTAAAAAGAATATCTACTTTTGCTACATACGCTCCTAAAGTACTTTCCTCTTCCTCTTCTCCTTCTTGAGGCGTCCGCATAAATCCCATCCTACGCATTTCTGACTGGAAACACCTAACTGCATTTGATACTTCTTCAAAACGTTTGAATTCACTGATCTCCGTTGGAATCACATGCGAGAGGTATTCACTAATTACAATGTCACGTAGGTCATGAGCAATAAACTTTCCAAAGGTAGACGCATATTGTGAGGCAATCGAAAATATCAAAGTCTCTTTGGATATCGGATCAATTCCGCCGAATATAAACGTATATATAAACTGAAATATGACGGTCAAAGACTTAAAAACCCCATCTAATGAAAAATATTTTGTCCAGGTCACAAACGAGAAAACATAAGCGATTCTGATGTTATAGAAAGTACTGATCACCTTGACTGGAATCTACAATATTTTCTCCTTCCAAAGTTGAACCAATAAATAAGCTAGCCTTAAGGTCGCCTTCGATTTTGATTGATGCTTTCCAGACATTCTGATGTTTTAACAACGGTGTAACAAGATATTTCATCACATTTTTTTTTAATCTCGAGAGCTGCATGTTTATTGAATCAATTTCCGTGAGGGAAATAAATACGGACGTTAGGAGAGTTGTGGAATTGTCCTCTGAATAATATATCATTCCAAGAATAACAGTTAAAATGATATAAATATCAATAATAAAGGGAAGCGCATAACTTACTTTCCACAGCAGACAAGACTGAGAGATTAAAACCGTCGGCGTCATCTGCGCCGGTTTTTTTGAAACAGATTGCTTCATTTAACAAATCATCGAGATTTTGATCTAAAGATTCCTTCATAGATGTCAGTTGCATCTAAACATAATGGAGTTTAGTCGATGTTAATAATATGTGGACAGACATTGCACTAATTCATTAGAGCCATTTGCCATCCAGGTATTGGAAATTAATCATAAATTTCTTTTTAGAATTCCGTACTTTTAATCTGTCCAAAATGTGTATTTGTTGACTCGATTGTATCGGAGGAGATTCCAATAACCGATCCTAAATCACAAAGCCATTAGTGACAATGTCAAGGGATATTTAAGATCATGTTATAATTATTCTCACCATCTCTGTAATGATACCAGCTGCCTCTTCTATTCGACCCTGACTCATATATTCTTGAAATCGTTTTTCAGAGGTCCGAAGCTGTAGTTAATAAGTACAGGATATATAAGAATCTTGTTGAATTCCTAACCAATTATAATATTGCATACCTCACTCAAATACTCTAGCATCTCTACCACAAATTTAGTATTCTGAACCTCTTGTTTTACCAACCTATTTTCTTTTAGTGCCTTGAGAAGTTTTGGCTTCATTCCTACCTATACTTGTGGATTTTAGAACAGGTGTTATTAGGGTTATAAACCTTGAAATTTGAATTATGATAAATTGATTAAGTTCAGGCGACATGCAAATATTAAATAGAATACCTCTGGATCGTTTACTTCTCGTGATACACCATCGGCCTCCATAAATAAGGTATCGATCTTGTTGCGTAGTGAGATGGACTCGTTATAGAGAGTAATGAATTCATCTTGTCGATCGTGGATCAATTG